GGAGCTTAATTTTCACATAGTATGTAAGTCATTCGTATTAATACATGCATTGCATATACGAATGACCTCCCCCCCCCCTTAATTTAACAGCGGCAAAACAAATATTCTCTTCGAGCTGAAGCAAGCGATTTGGGACGACTGCCTGCAACAGGGGCTGATCCACCCACACTTGCATCCACAATGAATCCGCCGAGTGAGACGCTTGCGCGAGTGAATCCTGGTCTGCAAGCGAACCCGAACTCCCCGGGTTTCCTAACTATCCGAGCTGTAAGGCCGCCAAAGCAGACAAGTTGCTTCCGTGCCAGCTGTCTACCGATGCGAATAGAAAAACGCAGGGCGGTGATCAACTTGGGGCTTCATGAGTGGCATGGTATCCTTGATCGAACAGCGCTTCTGGGCTGTAGACGTCCGAGCATCGAGCTGTTCGTCAGTGCTTCCCGCTCGCCGTGTCGAGATCAGCCGACGCGCCCGCCACAAGCAGCTCCTGCGCTGTGAGACCGGGTACGGCTCGATGCCTTCGGACTGCGAGCCCTCTCACCCAGCTCACTGCCTCATTCTGCAATTTGCTCCGCCACACGCACGACGTCCACCCCCCCCCCTTCATCTCCACCCCTCTTACCCAAGATGAACTTCACTGCTCTGCTCGCCGCCATCGCCGCTGCCCTCGTCGGCTCCGCCAACGCCACGGCCTGCACGGCGACCCAGCAAACCGCCGCGTACAAGACGCTCGTCAGCATCCTGTCCGAGTCGTCCTTCTCGCAGTGTTCCAAGGACTCGGGCTACTCCATGCTCACGGCCAAGGCCCTGCCCACCAACGCGCAGTACAAGCTCATGTGCGCGTCCACGGCCTGCAACACCATGATCAAGAAGATCGTGGCGCTCAACCCGCCCGACTGCGACCTGACCGTTCCCACCAGCGGCCTCGTGCTGGACGTGTACACGTACGCCAACGGCTTCTCGACCAAGTGCGCGTCGCTCTAAGCGCGTCCTCCAGCTCGATGGCGGCGGAGAGCGTTGTTGGCTGGGAATATTCTACGTCTTCCCTGTCAGGAGCTGCTTCTTGGTCGACGCCATCAACCGAGGACTAAGTTGTGAGTTTCCACACAAACTGCCGAAGTATGTGAATGAAATGATATGAGTTTTGTTTTCTCCGATGTGAGATAGCGGTGTGATTCATCGAGGCGAAGCGACTCCTGTTCTTAGTTATTGCCATCACAGCATTTCCGGAACGTGCTGGGCAATCAGCCCGCTCTAGCCAGGAAGCCACAGACGGCCTCTGGCTGTTGTCCGGTTCGATAGCACCCAGCGACAGGCAGGCTCGATTCCGGTGTTGCGCCCCTCCAAGGGAGGATGGCTCTACAATTTTGTGATGATCGCGTGGTGGAGCATCCCGACTCGCTCCATCGAACAGCGAGAGCGCTAAGCATACGCACTTCGACATTGTCCACCCGTGGCGGTTGGGGCAACCGCGCTGCCCTTTCAGCAGGCGGTCTGGTCCTCGAGGTGATCTCCGACTGGCCCCACCTGTCTTTCTTGCTCTATCCTGGTTTCAACGCGACTGCGCAGCTCCAGAATGGCCCGAAAGCAGGAAGGAACAGAACTCGCCGAGCCTGATAAACGGAGAGAAGGAGGAAGATATGCCAGGCATACCGCCGCTGCGACAGGTTGCTCACGCTCCAGACGCGGTCCAATACCAGTCAGTGCTTCTAGGACTCGCACCAAGGATACACCGTTGTTTGTCTAGTGCGGGCGCCCTGGGAGGCCTGACTGGGTCAACGACTGCCATCCGCCAGCTCTGCCATCCTTGCTAGCTTCCCCATTCTGCAACTTGCCTCGTCAAGCACAAGCCCCCCCCCAGCCCACCGCACCGCTTTCTCCCTCGAAGATGAACTTCGCCGCTCTCCTCGCTGCCACCGCTGCCGCCCTCGTCGGATCCGCCTCCGCCACGGCCTGCACTTCCACCCAGCAGACCGCCGCCTACGTCGCGCTCGTGAACATCCTCTCGGAGTCTTCCTTCTCGACGTGCGCGAGCGACTCGGGCTACGCCATGCTCACGGCCACGGCGCTCCCCACCACCGCGCAGTACAAGATCATGTGCGCGTCGACTGCGTGCCAGGAGATGATTACCGAGATCATCGCGCTGAACCCGCCTGACTGCGACCTGACCGTGCCCACGAGCGGCCTCGTGATCAACGTGTACGAGTACGCGAACGACTTTGCCTCGACGTGCTCGTCGCTGTCGTCGTCATCGTCTGCTTAGGCGTTGGGCAGTGCTCGCTTGGTCGACCGCGCCATCACAGGACAGTATGAAGTTGTCCAGGATCGAGGGTCGCCGTCGCGTATTATGAACGCTAACAGTTGAATTGAATGGAGTGATGTCCCCCCGTAAATCTTGTTGGCTCGATGGTGTCTGCTCTTGTTTGGCTCTGCGACGCACAGTCTGCGTGGCAGCCCGTTCGGCTCGCATCGTGCCGCGATAACTTTTTTAAGACTGATAAGTGAGTAGCCTTCCAAGGGTGGATAGAGGTCTCGTGTCGCCGCTGCGTACAGCTTTGGGGCAACTAGTCGCTAAAGTCTGTGGGCTCGATCACCGAAGAAAGATACCATCACTTCAACTTGAAGTGCGCTAACCAATCAGATGGGGTCGTCGGACCTGAGTGCTGTAAGGTATCCTATTCTACCTTGGTTGATTTTCTGCTGGCGCCTTCACATTTTGAATCTTGCCAGGTCCACGCCTTGCGCACATGCACATGCACATGCACATGCATCATAAGCTGTATGCCATACAGAGCGCTAGTGGTGAGGTGGGGCATCATGCGACGCAGCCCTGCAAGCTTTTCAGATAACGAGGCAGTTAACCTTCTATAACATTTTTTCTTTCTCTGTTGAAGAGCAAGACATAGTTGCTGGAATTGCAACAACCTGGGCGTTGTTTGTGGTGCCCGTACAGCGGGTCGGTAGCAGCGACGACGCGCATTGTTCCAGCCGCTGCCGGCAGATTTGCCCTGGCTCGGTGAATTACCGACGGTGAACACAGAGCAACGCCCACCTGGACTCTCTACATTGGCAACGCCCTGCCAGCTTTCCCAGCTAATCTAGCAACAGGCTGTTGCGTGCTGCCGCCGTAAGTAGGCAGCCAACTTACCGGTAGCTGCATCCATGTTTTTCCCCCTCGGCAGGACCCACAGTTGACCCAGGTAACACGAAAACTGGGGCGTCAAGGTGTTAGGCAACGGATCCCTTCAAGCAGCATCCACGCATCGTGGCGAGACGGGCTCAAATACTTTGATGCTTGGCCCCACCTCGTCTACGGCAAATGGTGCTGCTTGAGTCGTCTTCACTGAAGGCTTCAGTTCGTAGAGTGGCATGGATCCTGTCAGTCGGCAGCACTGTTTCCAGCAGATCCTCAATCAAAGCAGCTCGAGTGCGCGGCGCAGCAACTCACTGCGCGATGTCGTGAAGCGCAGCGGCTGCGGGCAATGCAAGAAACTGCCCTGGAACACACATCCACGCGGACAGCGCGTGGCATCCTCGTCAGCGGTAGATCACTGCTACCAAATGGCTGATATCTATGAGGCAGTCTGCTGCTCCACAACCAAGTCGAACTCGAGCACGACCATCTACGGTAGATGGTAGATTCTACCGTATTCGCACTGCGCGCTGTCGTCTCCTTCGTGTCCGCGAACAACATCCTGGCGACTCGCGAAAGAAGCATGCCAGTGTCTCTGCGCAGTGGACGCTCACAGCCAGGCCGAGCGGATCCCGCGAGACGCTTCTCTCGTCCATCTACATTGCATGGACCAGATGCTCGCCCCTCTCTTGGTCTCCGAGCACGGATACAAGTTGCACCCGTACAACGCCAGTCAAGTTGTGCACCTTTCGGCAGTCGCCGACAGCGGAAAGCTTCGCCGTTCGCACAGCCACGGCAACACGTTAACCCATGCAGCCGCCTCCAAGTCAACAGGACACAGTCTACCGCAGCCACCGCACTCGCCATTGTGCAATTTGCTCTGTCACCCACACCCCACTCCACCCCACTCCACCACCTCCAAGATGAACTTCCGCGCTCTGTTCGCCGCCACCGTCGCCGCGCTCGTCGGCTCCACCTCGGCCACCACGTGCACCTCGTCGCAGCAGACCGCCGCGTACGTGGCTTTGGTGAGCATCCTCTCGGACTCGTCCTTCAACCAGTGCGCGACGGGCTCGGGCTACTCGATGCTCACGGCCACGGCGCTGCCCACGACGGCGCAGTACAAGCTCATGTGCGCGTCCACGGCGTGCAACACCATGATCAAGAAGATCGTGGCGCTCAACCCGCCCGACTGCGACCTGACCGTGCCCACGAGCGGCCTGGTGCTCAACGTCTACTCGTACGCCAACGGCTTCTCGTCCACGTGCGCGTCGCTGTAAGCAGCCTTAGTCGCCCGATTCAAGCGTCTCCATCCACAAGTTGCAGGCACGTACTTCTCTTCAGATCAACTGCACGGCTTGAGCAGGTCAAGTGTGTATGTAGCTAACTGTTTTCGAGCACTTATAAGGCTTTTTGAATGAAGATTTTTTGTTTCCATTACCCTGCACCTGCCTTGCATACTACTAGTTCTGCAGTAGTTTAATGTTCTGGAAACAGTTGCTAGATAGAATGGAAAATGGATTTTGGGTCGGAGACCTTACGTGCGCGAAGCTGAATACGCAGACTCAAGTCCGGAATAGCACTTCGGATATTCGCCGAGTTAGGTTCATCGTAAGAGTTCGCTTCGTGGGTTCTCGTCCTATCCTGCCTCTGTGGGCGACTGCTCCTAGCACTGTCGACCAAGAGCAGAATCGGATATGCTGGGCATGCACTCAATCTATCGCACGCATCGATCATCGATGACCAGGACTGCGGCATCTAACCTCGGCCCGCAGAACTCCACGTCGTCTTCGCCCCAGTGCTCTCCATTCTGAAATTTCCCTTGTCAATCACAAGTCACCCACACACAAGTCACCCTACTTTTCAGGATGAAGTTCACTGCTGTCCTCGCTGCCACCGCCGCCGCCGTCGTCGGATCCGCCTCCGCCACGGCCTGCACTTCCACCCAGCAGACCGCCGCCTACGTCGCGCTCGTGAACATCCTCTCGGAGTCTTCCTTCTCGACGTGCGCGAGCGACTCGGGCTACGCCATGCTCACGGCCACGGCGCTCCCCACCACCGCGCAGTACAAGATCATGTGCGCGTCGACTGCGTGCCAGGAGATGATTACCGAGATCATCGCGCTGAACCCGCCTGACTGCGACCTGACCGTGCCCACGAGCGGCCTCGTGATCAACGTGTACGAGTACGCGAACGACTTTGCCTCGACGTGCTCGTCGCTGTCGTCGTCATCGTCTGCTTAGGCGTTGGGCAGTGCTCGCTTGGTCGACCGCGCCATCACAGGACAGTATGAAGTTGTCCAGGATCGAGGGTCGCCGTCGCGTATTATGAACGCTAACAGTTGAATTGAATGGAGTGATGTCCCCCCGTAAATCTTGTTGGCTCGATGGTGTCTGCTCTTGTTTGGCTCTGCGACGCACAGTCTGCGTGGCAGCCCGTTCGGCTCGCATCGTGCCGCGATAACTTTTTTAAGACTGATAAGTGAGTAGCCTTCCAAGGGTGGATAGAGGTCTCGTGTCGCCGCTGCGTACAGCTTTGGGGCAACTAGTCGCTAAAGTCTGTGGGCTCGATCACCGAAGAAAGATACCATCACTTCAACTTGAAGTGCGCTAACCAATCAGATGGGGTCGTCGGACCTGAGTGCTGTAAGGTATCCTATTCTACCTTGGTTGATTTTCTGCTGGCGCCTTCACATTTTGAATCTTGCCAGGTCCACGCCTTGCGCACATGCACATGCACATGCACATGCATCATAAGCTGTATGCCATACAGAGCGCTAGTGGTGAGGTGGGGCATCATGCGACGCAGCCCTGCAAGCTTTTCAGATAACGAGGCAGTTAACCTTCTATAACATTTTTTCTTTCTCTGTTGAAGAGCAAGACATAGTTGCTGGAATTGCAACAACCTGGGCGTTGTTTGTGGTGCCCGTACAGCGGGTCGGTAGCAGCGACGACGCGCATTGTTCCAGCCGCTGCCGGCAGATTTGCCCTGGCTCGGTGAATCACCGACGGTGAACACAGAGCAACGCCCACCTGGACTCTCTACATTGGCAACGCCCTGCCAGCTTTCCCAGCTAATCTAGCAACAGGCTGTTGCGTGCTGCCGCCGTAAGTAGGCAGCCAACTTACCGGTAGCTGCATCCATGTTTTTCCCCCTCGGCAGGACCCACAGTTGACCCAGGTAACACGAAAACTGGGGCGTCAAGGTGTTAGGCAACGGATCCCTTCAAGCAGCATCCACGCATCGTGGCGAGACGGGCTCAAATACTTTGATGCTTGGCCCCACCTCGTCTACGGCAAATGGTGCTGCTTGAGTCGTCTTCACTGAAGGCTTCAGTTCGTAGAGTGGCATGGATCCTGTCAGTCGGCAGCACTGTTTCCAGCAGATCCTCAATCAAAGCAGCTCGAGTGCGCGGCGCAGCAACTCACTGCGCGATGTCGTGAAGCGCAGCGGCTGCGGGCAATGCAAGAAACTGCCCTGGAACACACATCCACGCGGACAGCGCGTGGCATCCTCGTCAGCGGTAGATCACTGCTACCAAATGGCTGATATCTATGAGGCAGTCTGCTGCTCCACAACCAAGTCGAACTCGAGCACGACCATCTACGGTAGATGGTAGATTCTACCGTATTCGCACTGCGCGCTGTCGTCTCCTTCGTGTCCGCGAACAACATCCTGGCGACTCGCGAAAGAAGCATGCCAGTGTCTCTGCGCAGTGGACGCTCACAGCCAGGCCGAGCGGATCCCGCGAGACGCTTCTCTCGTCCATCTACATTGCATGGACCAGATGCTCGCCCCTCTCTTGGTCTCCGAGCACGGATACAAGTTGCACCCGTACAACGCCAGTCAAGTTGTGCACCTTTCGGCAGTCGCCGACAGCGGAAAGCTTCGCCGTTCGCACAGCCACGGCAACACGTTAACCCATGCAGCCGCCTCCAAGTCAACAGGACACAGTCTACCGCAGCCACCGCACTCGCCATTGTGCAATTTGCTCTGTCACCCACACCCCACTCCACCCCACTCCACCACCTCCAAGATGAACTTCCGCGCTCTGTTCGCCGCCACCGTCGCCGCGCTCGTCGGCTCCACCTCGGCCACCACGTGCACCTCGTCGCAGCAGACCGCCGCGTACGTGGCTTTGGTGAGCATCCTCTCGGACTCGTCCTTCAACCAGTGCGCGACGGGCTCGGGCTACTCGATGCTCACGGCCACGGCGCTGCCCACGACGGCGCAGTACAAGCTCATGTGCGCGTCCACGGCGTGCAACACCATGATCAAGAAGATCGTGGCGCTCAACCCGCCCGACTGCGACCTGACCGTGCCCACGAGCGGCCTGGTGCTCAACGTCTACTCGTACGCCAACGGCTTCTCGTCCACGTGCGCGTCGCTGTAAGCAGCCTTAGTCGCCCGATTCAAGCGTCTCCATCCACAAGTTGCAGGCACGTACTTCTCTTCAGATCAACTGCACGGCTTGAGCAGGTCAAGTGTGTATGTAGCTAACTGTTTTCGAGCACTTATAAGGCTTTTTGAATGATGATTTTTGTTTCCAGTTGACTTTAGGTTGCCGTTATTTTTAGTTGGGTATCGTTGTTGTATGATATATTTTTATATTAGTATCTAACAAAAGCGTTGCGTTTTCCTCTTCATTTTTAAACTTCTTTTTTTAAAAGAAGTGGCAAATAGCATTACAACATGTTGTAACATCCCCCACTCAAAATCCGCAGCTCTGTTGAGAACAAATGCGCTAACGCCCCACAGATCAGCACCCAGAAGCGACTACGTATCAATAGCAGCAGTGTATTTACGTAGTAGACCAAGGAGTTCATCGTACGCCTTTAATTTCGACCACTGAAATCGAGAGAGATCTTTTGATTGTCGCTTCAAGTTGAAGCCGACCAGATACTGTACCTACCGGTAGTCGATTTTTCTCCTGCGTATGGTTGAAGTGGCCGCACGCGTTTATGGTCTCAAGTCTCTCAGAGTCAAAACTTTTGAATCTGAGAGCCATTATTTTGGTCAGCTACCGGTAGTTTATCTTAAAGTACTAAAAACAATTCACATACCACTACTACAGTACGTGTAATAGTATGCCAAACCACCCACTCAAAAAAGGTATCTCCTCTGGTCAGTTTTTTTCAAGATTGCATTCGGAACTCGATGTGCCGCATCAAGCGTATTTCTAGTTGATTAAGCGAAGTCTCTCAATCGACTTTCGAACGGTAAAATCGGCGCAAGCAAAGCCTGGTCTTGGGACCAAAGCAGGAAGAATTGATGAATCTGAAGAGCTATGTAAGCTCACCATTCTCCCGCATGAATCCACCCTAGCGATACCCGCAAACTTCTAGAAATTGCACGATGGACTGCTGGTGGGGACGACGGTACCAGCCGTTGCCGGAGCCTCACTGGAAACTGCTGGGGTGGAAGTAGGGGTGTTGGTGCTCGTTGGCGCTTCCGTAGGTGCAGTAGTGGGGGCCGTCGTCGGAGTTTCGGTGGGCGCAAAAGTCGGAACGGAAGTAGGGGCTTCGGCAGGCTCGGTAGTAGGGGCATCAGTCGGAGCGGACGTAGGGTTCGGCAAGGCGTCACAGTTCGACTCAAAGTTGATCGCGAGCTGGTAGAGTGTAGGTTGCGGAAGCAACAGAGGTAACATAGGTTAGAGCAGTTGCTGACGAAGGCGGTGTTGCCCGCTGTCGCAGTTAGGCTATAGTTAGACCGGGAGGGACTCCGAAGCTAGCAGGCTCCAGTCCTGCTCATTCGCGAATTTCCTCGCCGCAGTTAAAACCTCCAAGCCTGACGACTTCTCGGACCTCCTGTCTTGCCCCGAATGGCCCCAAGCTATTTTTACCTTCGGCCGGGCGTTTTCAACCTCGTGGGCTTCTCGTACGGCAAGGTGGACGGCACCCTCGCACGCGAAGCGAAGGTGAAGGTCAAGCTGGTGCAGAGTGGGCGCTGGTCGGAGGAGCCCCCGCAAGCTGTCGAGCTTCCCCAGGAAGAGCTGGCCCCAAGAGTCGTGTCAGTCGCAGAAGCCGAGAATGGTGTCGGTACGTTTGTGGGTGGCGTCATCTGCACGTCACGGGTCCGCTCCGGAACAGCTCGGGTCTGGGATTACGGCTTAGTGATCGGATACAGCTGGGAACCTGAGCTGCAACATGGCCTGCTTGATGTGAACTTTCGTGGTGCTGAGACCTCGTTGAAGTTCGTATCGGACACTACTCAGGATGTTGCAGTCGAGATTTATGCGTTACAGCCGTGTGCCGGACAAAGCACGAGCTTCGTGATGGCCCGAGAGATGAGGCAAATACACGACAAAGTGTATAACAAGTTCAATGGGATCGACCAACCAGCGATCAGAGATGCTACACAGCTGCTGGAGGGGGTCCGGAGTGATGAACTTGACGAGGCCCAGATTCTCCCTCTGCTTGATATTGGGAATTTTGCCATCGCAGAGGTCTCAGTCCAGCACATACTCGACTACGTCTACTACAAGGACGGTGGGCGGCCGCACCCATCGGAGGCAATTTTCGGTGACACCATCTTTGACAAACCGATCGCGCAGCAGGAACCAAGAACCCTTGCTGCCACTGAGGTCGTGCTTAGCGATGGCTTGAGTGACTCTGACGACGATGCCGCCGACCCTCCTACCGCTCACAGTGGTGTGAGCTCGACTCAGCAACGTGAAACGAAGCGCCGGCGTCTAAACGTACAAGGGCGGACAGCTTTGCCAGACTCAATTCACTCGGACACAGTATTACATGGAGTAGGTGGAAAGTCGCAGAGTACGCGGGATGTCGATCAACTGATACTCTTGGTGCAGCGGCAGCGCGACGCGAAGATGGTAGTGGCGATAAAAATCAATTTCACGCGACGGGCATGCAGACGACTATTCACCTGGGCTTAGTTGACGGTAAGTCTCCGTCAATGACGGCGCAGCGGTTTGTGGAGTTCGTTCAAATTCATTGGCGAAAGTTTGTTTTTTTCCCTCATCCTGCTGTCCTGTGTGCGCTATTTGGTTGGGATTTCGGTACGAGAGGACTTTCAATTTTACATTTCGGCCGCGTGACAGAGCTGGAGAAGAGGAAACGTGTTCGAGTTTACGACATGAGCAACTTTTCCAAAAAGAACAGCCTGCCTCCTGCGCAACCTCCTGCTGATTTTACTACTCTGATTGGGTGTGTCGACGCCCTGTGTGCCATTACCCAACTCCTCTACAAGCCCGTGGTTCACGAGACGCTGAAAGCCGCCTCCGACTTCCTCGGCGAGTTGCGAGTGAGCGAGTTGATGGCTTCCCAACAAGCTTTGACCGAAATTGCAGCCTGGGTCGACGATCAGCTGGAATTGTTTCGGCTAGCTATTACGGATGAGAATTGGAAAGCTGTCGCGGATATCAAGACATATTTCTGTGCATCACACGACGCTTTTATCCGGGTGCATCAAATGATTGTGCGTCAGGATGTCATCGCCGCTGTAAAGTCAACTCACTCCAGCTCCGGTCGGTCAGAGCATCACACACGGGGCGGACGAACCAGCAACTCGGACAAGCGCATTCCGATTCCGCTTGAAGTTCGGCAGGCGCTTCCAAAACAAGGCAACCAGCAGATTTGCCTGAGATTTCTATCTGCCCAAGGCTGCCGGAGAAAGAACGGCAACTGTGTAATCAAGCATCTTTGCCATTTCAAGCCGGCAGCGCTGCCGGAAAATGTACGCGACTTCCTTACCAAGAACTACGGAGGCCTTTCCGCAGACATACAGTGACGGTGTCGGGCACGGAACGTAGGACCTACTCGCACCCCGAGTGCATCGGGGTCAATTAATCGGCAACGGTATATACACCCACACGCTGTTCAACCACCATTCAGGTCTATCTTTCCGTGTCAAAACACCACCGGGCCGCTCGATCGACTCATGTCGATGAGCCCGCCCACGATCGGGCCGTTCGGTCGACTCATGTCGTCGAACCCGTCTACACTCGGGCCGCTCGCCCGACCCATGTCGCTGGGCCCGTCCACCCTGGGGTCACCCAGCCGGTACAAGCCGGCGGGCCCACCCTCACTTGAAGCAATGAGTCGCGCGAAAGCGAAGGCGACAAACAGCAGCCTCTCGACTTCGTCGGCTGATGCACCATTTCCGGCCGCTAACTTTATTCGGCGGCGCCAACGAAGGTTCGATACTACCAGCCTCGCCCGCCGCCGGTTAGCAGAGCTGCACGTTGACACTGCTCGGATTAAGCTGATTAGCGCGCTAAGACGACAAGCCTTATCACCACCACAACCAATGGCGTCGACAGCAACGCAACGGGACCACACGAAGTACCTGCTTGACCGAAACAAACAGTCCGTCTACAGTGAGTTCATACGGCGCTCTGGTATGCAGCTGCCCGAATTTGTTCGACCGCTGCGAGGCGAGACTGAGCATGACCCCCGCCCCAATAAATCGCTGATCGAGCCAACATCCCTATCAGCATGGCAAAGTTACCGCTACAAAACTCAGTGGGCCGAGATTGTGCAGCACGGGGTATGTCCCCGGTGGAAATCGGGGTTCGCAGTACAAGACGCACCACCCGCAAATCATGGGTCGGCTGTACGAGCCCTGAATATCATTGTTAAATGCCTCCGCAAAGGGCAGGACGAGAACCGCTATCTGATTCTCGATTTGGAGCTACTGTCGATACTGCATGGTGTCACATGCAGTCCATTCGGGGCTGTTCAGAAGGGTGATGCGGACCTCACTGTTGATGCTCGTCTAATTCACGATTTGTCATTTCCTCCGGGCGCCTCGGTCAATGGCAACACTGTTCCGGATCATGAGATTGACGTTTGTTATGACGGCCCTGATGCATTGGCCAATCGCATTCTGGATGTGGACGAGGTCTTCCCAAAACTACAGCAGATGATGACTGGAGACGTGAATGGAGCGTTCAGGAACATCCCGGTGTCCGCTGACAACATCGACCGGTTTGCAGGCACGATACCCGAGCTTGGGATCCTGGTCATCGACCTGTGCTGTCCATTCGGCTGGTCAAACTCTCCAGTGTCATACTGGGTAGCTGGTGCTGCTATTTCGCACCTTTACTCCTGCTCGGCACCGGAATGGCCTCTACAACCTACATCTGGAAAGAACAACTTCGATGCCAAGACGTGGTGTGATGGCCACACAGCGATCGAGCCTGATATAGACTCTCGGCTAGCGGAAGCCCAACTCGCCTTGCGAACAGCTATGATCGCCGTATTGGGTCCTGATGCAGACATCGAGAAAAAGTTCACGGGCTGGTTTAAGGAAGGGCGCGCCCTCGGTCTAGATTGGAACCTGCACTCCAACACAGTCTCTATGCCCCCCGAGAAGATTTCAAAAGCGCTTTATCGTGTGCACGACATGGCAACACGGGCGAAAACGACCCGGACCCAGTTGCAAAAGCTACTAGGAAGTCTTCGACACGTTCTCACGTGCGTCAGAGCTGCGACGCCATTCTTCCAGCGCGTTGCAGCACTAGCTCGAGCTGCTCCGAGGTTCGGAACCGTCGAGGTATCGTTCGAGGCAAAGGGAGATTTGCAGTGGTTTGAAATGGTCATTCGAATCGGTAAATTGAACGTTGTCCCGTTGTCTAGATTCACGCGTCGTCAGGAACCAAACTACCACATCCAGATGGACGCCAGTGACAAGGGCCTGTGCGCTCTGTTCCCGCTTCGCAAGCAATATCTCCAGGTTCAGTTCACCGATGCCGAGATCGACTTGATTCGTCAGTGCAACGAAGAGGGCGACAGCACATTCTGCATCAACGTCCGTGAACTAATGAGCGCAGTGTTTGCGTCGTTAGTGTGGGGCTGTACATGGAAAGACCTTACGGACAATGAGGAAGCTCACGTAAAATTTTGGATCGAGAACACGTCCGCAGTGGCGTGGAGCAACCACAAGACGAGCCGCAACCTGTTCGCTCAAATGCTCCTCCGTATATTGGGTATTTGTGAAGTTCAGCATGGATTCTATACTATGGCTGCCCACGTCGCTGGGGTGGACAACCAAATGGCGGACGCAGGAAGCAGGATATGGCAGTCGCCGGTGCTCGCGGCCGAGTTTGCTAACTTATCGTCTGATTGGACACAGGTGCAGATACCAGCCGCCTTGCGCGATCTCTCGCGTCTCTGGGAGCGTTATTGCGAGCAGGTGCCTTAGCACAGTCGTCGAGGGAGCAGTATTCACGTGGGTGGGCGCAGTGGACTGCATGGTGCACTCTGATGAACTCGAGTCCATGGCTATCAGCGACTGACATCGACAAAAACGCTGAGCAGCTTGGTGTCTACGCCGTGTATCTCTGGAAGTATGGCATGAATCGAAAACACGCTGGAAACACCTACTCAACTATCTGCACCAAGCTGTGTGCTGTGCGGTGGTTCCACCGCGACTCTGCAGGTTACGATCCGGGTGTAAACGCAAGTCACGCTATCCTGCTGCGAGGTATCCGCCGCTTCACGGACCCAGATGTTAAGCAGCAGCCCTTGACCACGCCGCTGCTCCGCACTATCTTTCAGAGCCTCGATATATATCACAGCCACGTGATCAACTTATCTGGGGTGGGCTGCTTTTGGGGTACTTCTTTCTGTTGAGACGCTCCGAGTATCTCTTCATCGGAAAGAAGGTTCACAACTACATCTTGCGACTGTCGGCAATCCGCTTCTTCGACCGTGATGAAAACGTCGTCTCGCCGAAGAGGGCACACGTCGTCGGTATAACACTTCACGGCGCAAAGAATAATCTGTTTGGGCGAGAGGAGGTGCGGTACCATCACAAGTCCGGGGATAAACTGATATGCCCGGTACGAGCAGCACGCTGGGTGTACAAGGCATTATCGCTGCGGCGAGGTGGTATCACGTCGGAGGACGTCTCGAAGATCATCAAGCACGCAGCAGCATCAAATGGCTTCGAACCGAATCGCTACTCAACACACTCCGTTCGCATCGGAGGGGCTACGGCATTACTTAACGCTGGCGCTGATCGCCTCGTCATCAAGCTCATGGGGCGTTGGCTATCCAATGCCTTTGAAGACTACCCGGTGTTATCGGCAAATGGCACAGTGGATCTCGCTCGGCAAATGTGCTAGTGCCCGCCATGCAGCCAGCGAGGCGGCAATTCATGTGGGGTAGCCGCCACGCCACGCCCTCAAGGATGGCACAATGACAAGTCCATCATTTGCCCCAAAACGCGCGACAGTGTTGGAAAGTGTAGGTTGCGGAAGCAACAGAGGTAACATAGGTTAGAGCAGTTGCTGACGAAGGCGGTGTTGCCCGCTGTCGCAGTTAGGCTATAGTTAGACCGGGAGGGACTCCGAAGCAAGCAGGCTCCAGTCCTGCTCATTCGCGAATTTCCTCGCCGCAGTTAACCCGCCACGCCACGCCCTCAAGGATGGCACAATGACAAGTCCATCATTTGCCCCAAAACGCGCGACGGTGTTGGAAACGTTCATGACCGCTTGGCTCGTGGGGATGACCAGGTCGCAGTCGGGCGGGCTCGTCGCGAGCACACGCACGACTAGATCATGACAGACTTGCACGCCACACAGCGAGATCATCTGCGAGTTCGTGGGGGCGGCCGAGTAGTACAGCATGTTGTAGCCCGAGTTGGTCGCGCAGTCGCTGACGGTCGAGCCCGTAAGCAAGCTGATCATGTTGAGGTACGCGCTTCTTGTCTGGTCCACCGTGCAGGGCGTGGTGCTCACAGAGCCGACGAAGGCAGCAGCGATGGCGGCGAGGAGATGGCAGTAAGTCTTCATGGTCTTGGAAGGAAGTAGTTGCGAAGAGCAAATTGAGGAATGGTGAAGACAGTTGAGTCACGAGTCGTGAGTCATCGCGGTCAGTTTTCGAATAAGCAAAGCATGTTCACGTTTGTACCGCCATAGAGCCTAGTCTCTACAATAGAGACTGCAGTATGACCGTGGGTGAAAACGCAAGAGTAGTCCTCCGGCGCTGGTGCTCGCCGGTCTCTCACTCCTCTACGATTTACTCTGTACACTAGGGATTTCGTAGATGTCGGTCTTCATGGATCGGTCGAGTACAGTATTCATGTACAATACTGAAGCGCCAGCAATTTTAGGCGGCAGCACCCCGTGCTGCAGATTACTGTGGCTCCGGGATGCAGCAGGAAGCTCCTTCCTGGAAGGAACAAAGTTTACTTGGTATGTTGCGCCTCTGGGACGGCGTTACCGCTTGTCGCGGTCCTCCTCCGTCGGGGTCGTGTACTTCGGCCGACAGGTGAACAGGCGCTTCGCTTGCTGGCGTAGGGCGATAGAAGATAGGAAGGAAGACTTTAACACTCTCACGAAAATGCAAAGTTGTTGTTGCTTTAACGGAGAAAATCCACGACTGAGCTCTCTCTTCTTACCTGTGCGCGGCCGGCAGCTACCCCACCGACCCGCTCCTTACCAACTGCAACCTGCCCTTGGGGACGACACGCCTTCGGCCTCCGAGCCAACGCCGTACTCGTGTCCCCCGTCCTCGACGTCCAGCCGCCGAACGTTCCGTACCCTCCGCTCTGCACCGCGCCATCTTTCAGCAGCAGCAGAGTGGGCCTCCCACTTAGACTCGAAATGCTTGCGCGCCCTGGCCTTGCCCCGCCAGACGTCGCGCCTCCTCCTGCTCCAACGCACCGTCGAGCAGCTTGAGGAAGGCTGTCAGCCGAGGTCTCAGACGTAACCCGGGACACGCTGCATCAGTCACTGCATCCCAATAACATTTACGGTGTTCGTGTGACACCCACCAGTCTCCGTTCGGATGCATCAAAATACTGCAGTTATGACACTTGCTTATTAGTGCGGACACGCACCCCGTGACTTTGCCGCTGCAAGCGAATTTACCTCAGAATTTGAAAACTTAATGATCGCCGCCGCAATATTTTTTCACCCTGACTCTTTGGAAAATCAACGTTACAGCTCCAGCTGGTGTCCCGAGTCGGAACGGCTCGGACCGTTCCAACTCTGCGTGGGCGACGATGAGTGCCTGAGTTCGTCCACCTGCTGTGGTCGCGGGCGAGAAGTAGTGGGCCGTGGGTCGGGTTGTCTCGAAGGTGGAGACCCGTGGGCCGCTACCCAGAGGTATCTTGGAGGGATGATGTGCCTCGCAGTGTCGTGGCGGGACTTCGGGGACGGATGGCATGTTGGGCGGCTTTGAGGGCCGTCAAGGTGAACGGATCAAGTCTTTGGGAGGGGTGAGCGGGAACGGAGTCACCCGAAGGCACTGAAACGCAAGGATCTGGAGAGGTAGAGAGGAAGAGTTAGGAGTAGAAGGAAGGTCAGTCGTGAATTTTGCTTAAAAGGACCACACAGGTCGTAAGGAACACTTATTGCATTTTGCTTAGTGATCTCCTTGCTATTTGTGCCCCATAAACCTATAAGCACAGGCAGCACTTACTACTTCAATACAGCGGCGGCCGGCCCCAAACCGGTCCGACAAAGCGACTCGCGACACGTGGTGGAGGAGCAGGGTAGTGTTACCGACTGTGGAGTGAACAGTGCTGAGAGCCTGTGCCCGGAAGTGAACAGAGTCAAGAGCCGAGCGTCTGGAACTGGTGACTGGACGTGTGACCCCCCTCCTCGTGTTTAAAGTGTGCCAGGGAAGGACACAGGAGTCCGCACACGAGTACACGCCGCGCGGGAAAAGCGGCGTCGAGGAGCAGTGAGAGGAGCGATCCAGGCCGGTAGGACAAGGGAACGGTAACGTAGACACAAGAGCCAAGTGTGCACGGTCAAGAGCAAGAGGTCAAGCGAACAAGGAACAGTAAACTGAGAGTGGACAAGGAACGGTAAACTGAGAAGAGAAGATGCCAGGAGGACAAGGAGGAAGAGGCGGTAACGCTGAGGAAGCAGCACGCCGCCGGGCTGAACAAGAAGAAAGAGCGCGTGCAGAGCGCGCCGAGGCAGAGCGTACCGCGCGGGCCGAAGCAGAGCGTGCCGAAAGACGTCGGCAGAGGCCCTCGACACCGACTTCCGGGACGCCGATGATCGGGATAGCGCCGCCGCTGTCCCAGCGACCGAGGGCCCCGCCGCCGCCCAGCCAGGCTGGAGCGGGCGCGCCGGACCCGGTTGAAGAGGGATTGAGGAGTCTGGAGCGGTGGAGGAAGACCCCTGAGTATGCTGAAGAGGGAGCGTCCGTGTCGGATGTGATGCGTGAGCTCCGGGAAGATGAAGAAGACGAGGACTATGAAGAGAAGGAGGCGGTCAAGACGGAGACCGCGACTGGAGTCCAGCCGGTGACCTCGGCTGGAATGAAGACGGAGACCGTGGCGAAGGCCAAGGCGGAGTCCGCCGTGAAGGGCGAGCCGGAGCCACCGGTCTCGAGTCCGATGGGACGGTCGAGTGTGGGGTAGCCCTACGCTCAGCCGACGGACTATGGGTACGGCTACGGGATGTACGCCGACGACGAGGAAGACTACCACGACGCGATGGAGGAGCCGGTCCCGACGCAGCGAGGCCCGAGTGGGTTCATCACCCGCTACACGGGTCCCGAGGCCCGCCGAACGGATCGCCCTGCCTTTGGATGGAGCTGGAGCGCTCAACATGGTTCGGGGAAGGCCCCCGAGTACGAAGGATGGAGTGGGAGCGGAAGCGCGGTGAAGTCGCCGATCAAGTCGCCCCCTCCGATGAAGAAGTTGCAGTTCGCCGGCGGTCCGGCTGGGCTCTCGAAGCCGCTCGGTGGCGGAATGCCCATGCAACCTACAACGGGCCTACGGCAAGTCGGACGCCTGGAACGGGTACGGCTCCGCCGGCTCCGACGGCTGCACCGTCGACGAGTTGGCGCGGTGCCAGTGGACTTTCGCCGAGTGCCTACAACCTGTCTACGATGGTCTCGCACGCCGTGAAGGTGCTGCCGATGTTCCATTCAGACACGGCCACGGTGGAGAAGGCGCGGGACTTCTGGGAGCTCTTCGAGGACCACACGGACGGTTTCCCCGACCGGTCCAGATTGCTGGTGTTCCGTCAGAAGCTGCGAGGCCGCGAGGCTGACCGGTGGTGGAACAACTCGAGGATCAAGTCGTTCAGGATGCTCAAGGTGCGGTTCCATAACCAGTTCCTCAGCCGGATGGCTGACGAGCTGTGGGAGCTGCTAGAGAACACGAAGAGGCAGCGCGGAGAGTCCGTGGAGGAGTGGGGTGACCGAGTCTCGGACCTGTGCGAGTCCCTCGACTACCCGAATCCGCAGATGCGGTACCAGCTCTTCCGCCGAGGACTGCGGAACAAGCGCATGCTGGCGACCTTGGACGCGAGTCCCGCGTCGGACATTCCGGAGGCGTGCGAGTGGCTCATGTTCGAGGACATGCACCGTCCGATCGAGGAGGACGACGAGTTCTCGGACAGCGAATCCAAGAAGAAGAACAAGAAGTCGGAGGAGGCCCCCGCGACGACTGCGGTCGAGGCCCTCGCTGAGCAGATGAAGTCGTTCATGGAGCAGCAACAACAGTGGCAACAGCAACTTATGCAGCGCCAGTGGCAGCCGCCTAGGTCGCCTCGCAATCGAGCGCCGGTAGTGGCCGCCACCCCTGCCACTCAGCCCGCTGGAAACGGTCGTGGGCCAGGGAACGCTCAGCCATTCCGGGGCATTCGGATGGGAGATGATAGTCGCACGCAGGACGGTTCGCCTGTGTGTGGTCGCTGTAACTTCATGGGACATGGTCGCGCTACATGCAAGCGCGCGTCGATGGGCTGCAGGCGCTGTGGCGCGTTTGGTCATATCGCGGTCGAGTGGGACAGGCCCCAGAACGGTGGAGGCCAGACTGCAGCCGCTGGGGGTACTCAAGCTCCGTCTGGTTGTGTTTTCTACCAAGACGCGAGCCACTCCGTGATGCAGTGCCCCGTGTTGGCCGAGCTTCGTGATGCGACTCCGAGTTTGCTGAACGCGGCCGCCCAGAGCAATCCGACCCGTCGACAGTGGCGGGGGCGGGAGGAAGCAGAGGAGGGAGCCACTCCTTTCTCTAGTCTAGAGGATGGCTCAGGGGGTGATCGTAGGAGGCAGGCGAGACGAAGGCGTTCTGCGGTCACGGCGAGGAAAACGGTGGACAAGGTTGTGAAGAGTAGTGTGAATGAAGGGAGCGTCGAAGAGGAACGCGTAGAGGCGCCAAGAGCGGAAGTGGAAGTTGAGACGGTTGCCGGGGCCCGGGAAGAGTGGATTGTACCCAGCGGCGTCTCCGTCGAAGAAGAATATGAACGAGAGCAGGGGCGGACGGTATTGTCTGTGCGGGAAGAAGGTGAAGCTGAGTGTTGGACGGAGTTGTCTGTGCACGGCGAAAATGAGGAAAGCGTGGCGGAAGAGCCTGCATACTGCTACGAGGAAAAAGCGGCGTGGGCCGTTGCGAGTGACGAGGAGGAGAAGATGTACCCTGCGGGGAAGACGGCGACCGAGGAGAGCGCCGAGCAGGACGAGCCGAGTGCAAGGGTGAACGGGGCGTGGGCCCATGATGGGGCCGCCCTCGATGGTAACGATGAAGAGGCTAAGGAGGCCGAGGCGGCCAAGCTGGACGCCCCCGCGGGCGATGGAGACCCCGCGAGTGGCCCAGACCGCAGCCCCGAGCGTGGAGTAGGCAACGAAGAGGGGACGGCAGCAGAGACCGTCGACTCGGCGTACGACGAGGACCGGTCCGCGAGGTCGGAGGAGTCGGCGTACTCCGAGGAGGAGGAAGTCGACGGTGATGTGTTCTATGCGGCCAGTGCGGACGATGAAGCGTTCTGTGCTGCGCCTCCGAGCGCGAACATACCCTACAAGGTACCCACGGAGGAGGTGCCGC